GGGGGTCACATCACAGTGGAGTCAGCTGTCTTAACCGTGGCTTGTGTACTGCAAACACATACCAGCTTCATCACTGTGTCTGTCACGCGACTCTGTTCCCCTTTCGGGCTCTGTCCTTACATTTATTTTGAAAGCTGAAGCTCACGATTATGGTAAGGCCAGGGGCGTTACATTTCCGACGAGTGCTTGCGGTGTTCGGCCAATCACAATGCACTGGGTCAGCTGGCCAATCAGAGCAGACTGCGCTTGTCGGAAGGAGGGACTTTGTAGAAAACGAAGCATTTGAGAGAGGCGGGGCATAGAGGACCTACAATAATGTACAGTATTTGAAAAATAATGTGTTGTTTGAACATTGAAGCATGTCAACATATTCTGTTACACCAAATACACAAAATAATGATCTTTAAAAAAGCATCATATGACCCCTTTAAAACAACTGATTTTAGTTTTTAGTGTTTTATTTAGACAAAAATTCATTTTATTGATGCCTTGTAGCATTTGAAACAAACCAAAATATGAGCAATAGCCTTCACTTAGTCTGATATGCAAATACGGTATGGATATCTAATACAAGTCAGGTGTGATTAGATTAGAACAATGCAAAAAAGGATCAGGTTTGCAAATTATTTTCAACGATACTTCATGGAATTTGATTTTGCATAATCAAACGAGTCTAACACAAAAGCACCGATTCCCACAAACAGGAAACAATAACGGAGCCACGGCTCTGGGAATCCCATCAGCACGTACGGGTGACGGATAGACATGAAGGGTGCGTCCTGGCACAGCTGTCCCCTGGGGTGTGGGAGACAGCTGTCCCGCCAGAACAGAGCCAGCAGTGTTCCAGGAAAAGTGTCGATCAGCAGAGCTCGCTCGTCTGGGCCTCCTTGTGCAGTCGAAACAAACTCAGCGTGTGAATGAGCCGTGTTGTCATAGGCAGAGACAGGCGGCACAATGGAGAGCTGCTCAACCTCAGTACCGGCAGCCGGTACAAAGAACAGCCCTTCAGTACGCGCTGATAACTGGGGAGCCATTTAATCGAGCATCACTCGGAAACACTCTAAAACACTAATTATATTCCGGGAAAATATTCCTACCTTCTCCGGTAGGTCAGCGTGAAGATAACAGCCTGTTGGCGACATGAAGTTAACGCTGGATCCTAAACAGATGCTTCTCAGTAAAGCAGCAAGCGAGCAAGCAAGGGGCTACTGTCACAACTTCCACTGATCTAAATTCATTCAATTTAAAGCACTACAGCTACAGCCATGAAAACACTGCTTATCGAAAAAAATTGCCTTCTTTAATAAGTTTAGAAAATTTCAAATGTCAAGTTATTTTTTATAATATTAAATATTTATGTTTAATAATAAATGTGTAATATTTATTTATAATACTTAATTCTACAAAATAATACAGTTTTAGTATTAAAATATTACTACCAAGTAGTTTTAATATCAAATTTTTTTTTAGCAGCAAAGCACAGTCACTATGGAATTTTGTTTGTGCAAACAAATTCACTGGCTTCAACAATAAATATTCAAAATTCAAATGTCAAGTAATTTTTAAATTATTTTTTTCAAATATTCAATATGCAATATTTATAATATTCAATATTATTTTTGTATTAAAATAACAGTTTTAAACACATAAAACATTAAGAGCAAATAGTTTTAATATCAAATTTTGGCGACAGCCATGTAAATATATATTTTTTTAATTTAATATTAAATATTTAAAAATTATTTTAAATATTTAATATTCATTTTCCATATTAAATAATTTTTTAATATTAAATATTTTATATATTATTTTAAATATGAAATATATTAATACTAAATCATTTTAACATCTTTTTCTGTTTGTTTTTTGACAGCAAAGCATGGCTGCTAAAATATTACTATTACACAAGTGTAAGATAACTAACTAAAATAAAGGTTAAGACGACCTCAGAAAAAAATGTCACTTGCTGGACGTCTAGTTGACCATCCTTCCGCCCTATCCCTAGTCAGTACATTGTATCAGGACACTCTTCAAATTTCACTCAGCACTTGAAGAACCCACAGAGACACCGATCATCTCTAAAAAGGGAAATCAAACAAACTACCTACTGTCAGTTCCATTCTAAAGGACAAACTCTGTTTTTCAGCATGATCAACAACATATCATGTATCAAAAGTGTCACCTATAGATAAAGCCGAGTGCATTCCTCGTATCAGATGGATGCGCAGATGTGCTCCAGAGATTTCCTGACTGTAATCCAATCAGACTGCGGCCACATCACGAGACGGGATGAGATGATGAATGACAGAGAGGCGAGGCAGTGAAGAGGCTGAGATCACTTACCCAGACCGGAGGCATAAATGGCCTTAACTGACTTCTTCATCTTATAAAGGACACTGCGGTCCACATCCAGGGCCTAAACACAGACACAGAAAGAAACAGAGAGATATAATATGTGCATCCCAAAGACTTTAGGACATGAATACAGATGCACATGAACATCAGCACTACTGCACCACACACATTTATCAAAGACCCTTAATTATCTTTAGGTTACGCTCAAATATGAATCTCACACCTACACAGACTCAGGTGTGTGTGTGTGTGTGTGTGTGTGTGTTCATGGGGGGCAGACCCTGCTGTCTTCAGTCTGCAGGTGATTCATTATTCAAAGGCAAGCTCCTAAAAATACTCCAAAACAATCCCTGCACTGCAGGAGCAGCGGAAGTCGGCAGGCAGGACAGCACAGCTGAATCTGTACACATTCACGAAACAAACCTCCCCAGGAGCACCACAGGACACAACACACACACACACACAGAGCAATATAGCATTAAAGAAGAGTAGCAAGAAAGCAAGAAAATACCACACTTTAAAGCCTAAATCTGAGTGTTGTTATTGTACACAGTTTTATGATTCAAATCAATTGCGATTCACAAGCTCTTGATTTTTGATTAATATATATGATGTAACCACATTTATTTGGGTTTGTTACAGTTATAATGTAATTGTTGATTACATATGAAAGACATTCTTGCTTCACTAACACTGTTAACTCTTCATTAGACTCAGTAGACATTTTCACAATATAACATTTCATTATTTCTTTAAAAAACAGCTACATTTGACAATATCTATTTATATCTGCTCTCAAATGGCTTGAAAGGGGGAAAGAGACCAAAACATATTTGAAACATGCCAAAAATGTTAAATAAAATTATATTTATTGTATTACATGTTCCCAGTATAAGACAACTTAAATACCTGTAAAAAATAAAAATAAATAAAATCTTGCCTACTTGTATTGTAAAAAATACAAATAACAATAAATAAAATCTTGCCTACACGTAATCTTAAAATTCAGTATTTTTTTTCTTCTTTTTTTGGTCAATTGAAACCGATTCATGGAAATTAATCACATTTCTTAACTTTTAATGCTACCATTATTTTTTTTATAGTCATGTAATCACAAAAACTTTAGGCCAAATTGTACAGCCCTACAAACAAGTTCAGCAAACCTGGTGTTTTATTAAAACACACACACTTTTGCTATATAAAATTTTTCCTCAAATCATGCAGCCCCAACAGCATACCTTTCAGTACCACAGCAGAGTGAAACCTAAAAAAAAATATATGATACCAAATCGAAAATTTGCATCAGGCACTGAAAAGGGAAATAGCGTCTCAACATAATAGTTCCTCTACTGAAGCAGCCCAGCTCAGATGTGGTTATCTATAGGTGACACATCCTCCAATCACCTCTCAGTACCTCCATGCTGCTTATAAAGCCTCAAACCTCCAGATAAATCTAATGAAACACCGGCCTCAACATCCTCTGCCATTTGGCCCTGTTCACAGGAGCCTCCGCTGCTCCCAAAATGGAAGAATGTAAATCCTGCTTTTACTAAAAACGCTGTGTAATATTTATTTTCCAAACATGTCATAGGGAAGCTATCTAGATGCTTGTCTGATGGCTGGCCGTGTTTTATTTAGCTGAGCGTTCGGTTTCAGAGCGGTAGGTAGACTGACAATGCTTTTACTCATGATGGGGAGTGAGCCGGACCATGAACCACCAAAACCAAGACGCCTGACAAAGCAAAATGAGTTTACTAAGAAAACAGTACAGTTATTAATAAACCAAATGATTTCATAATAATAGAAAGACATTTACACTAACACCACATTTTGTGAAACTACTACCACTTCAGTAACCACAGGAAAGCATCAGCCAGTCTTTTATATCATTTCATCCTTTTTCTTAGTTATCTTTGAGAGGGATTACACCTCAGCAGTCAGCACACAAAAATAATGATATTTTTTATTAAATACCACTAGAGTTATTGAGGGAGTGAGTGAGATGTGACCTAAACTTGACTTGAGTCAAACAGGGAAGCAGTTTCACATCAGACTACGGAGTAAAAAAAAAAACCTCACTTCACAGTGTGTCTTTGTTTCACACACAGAGATCTACTATACAACTGTCCTTCACTGAAGTGACATGAGAATTGTAGGAGAAACAGGACTTTATTACAGCATTCATAAGTGGGTTACTTGTATTAGGTACTAATCCCTGTGACTAGTTAAGCATCAACGACCTGTCTCTTTACAATATTTTAATGCTCCGCTCCAAAACTTAGGAGATATAATAAGAGTCTGATGTTAGAATTAGTGGTTCAACAGATCACAAATCTCACGGTTCGGATCACATTACGGTTTTTGACCCACGGATCAGATAATTTTTCGGATCAGCAAGAAAAGAAAAATATTGCAGTTTAACTTGCTTTCCATTTATTACTTAAAGCGAAGTAGTACTATGATATCACAGCAAGTACTACCAGATTAACTAAGAAAGTTTAAACATGATTAAAGAGACAAGAGAACAGCCAGTAAAAATAAGAACAAATACACAAATTACAAGCATAGATAAATACAACAGAATATGTTACAAATAAAATAAGGTTGGTAGTATTCAAATACAGAAATGTAATAATTAGGGAAAATAACACTGCATAGTGTTCACTGTATAAATTAAATATAGATTTTTATCACAGCTGTTTTGTTGTTTGATGATCATTAATGACAGCAGCAGTATTTATAGGCCGCTGTCCCTTTAAGACCTGATGAACGGATCCGATATAATGATACACATCACATCCGATTTCTTTCTCAGCTGTTTTCATTCACTTGAGACATAACTGACTGTGTTTACCTGAATGATTGTCGAGATGGGTATTTTGTCATAATTGTATGTGTATGTGTCTGTTCAGAGGATTCAGAAGAGGATTGAGTTCGGTGTTCGCGCGCTGTCTGTTAAACGCATGTGCGTGCTTCATGTGTGTGCGGCTGTGCGAATAGAGAACCTCGCGCGAGTAACGAATCGAGTTCCCTTTCGCCTTTTCTCTCTGGAATTGTTTAAAATTGGCTTGCTTGTGTAAATACGAACAAATGATAAACTTATACTCTATTATGGTTAAATTTTGCAATTAATCCGCGGATCACATGCGTGCCGAACCGTGGGGCTTGGTCCGTACGGATCACGGATCAACTACGATCCGTTTAACCACTAGTTAGAATGCTGCAAACTCTCTCAAATCACATACAAAATTTTTGTTGCATCAAATTGATCAAAAGTGACAGTAAGACATAATAATGTTAAAAAGGTTCATATTTCATATAAATGCTGTTTTTCAAACATTCTATTCAAAGAATATTGAAAAACTAAATCTATAAGTTTCCAGAAAAAAATGTAACTGCACAACTGTTTTCAACTTTGACAATAATAAGAAATGTTTCTTGAGCACCAAATCAGCCTGATTTCTGAAGAATCATGTGACATTGAAGACTGGCGCAATGATGCAGAAAATTCAGCTTTGCATCACAGAAATACATTGCATTGTATAATATATAATAAATATAGTACACGGTTATTTTCAATTGTAATAATATTGCGCAATATTACCGTTTTAGTGTATTTTTGATAAAATAAATGCAGCCTTGGTCAACATAAGACTTATTTTTCAAAAACATCAGAAAAATCTTATGACACAATTTTCAAATCAACCAATATTTTCTTTTGCTCTTAAGAAAGAACTTTGGTGGTAAAATGATGGCATCAGATAGCAATAACATGGTAATTTAGTAGCTGGCTATTAAATAAAGGCCTATTTCAAATGAAATACTGAATTCCTGATAATCTTTTCCAATAAATCCTCCATTTTTATGGCACAATTCAATACAAAACTGCCACTCTCCCGTCCATAACAGAACAAGGCTCTTCTATTGCCTCACAAAACCATGTGTTTCCCTTTTATGTGCAGAAAAAGCTGCATTAGAGTAGGGCTGTGCGATTTGGACAAAAAAAACCTATCGCGATTTCTTTGATCAATTTTGCGATTTCGATTTTAATCACGATTTTGACACACACAGACATGCTTTACAGTCATTAATGCATTCAGTGTGAATTTGAAACATATTTCCAAAAGAAAACCAATTAGAGCTTTATCAAGAAGCTGTAACATGTCTCTAGAACAGACATAAGGCAAAATAATCACTAAGTAAAGGTTTAACAAAATGTCTCTAGAATAGACATATATGGCAGAAAAAAATAAAATAAATCCCGTGTCCAGGGATTTTTTTTTTGCCATGCATTGGTCATAGAGCTCTTTGTGGCGTTGCCTCAGATGTTGAACTAGATTTGTTGCGCCAAGTTCACACGTACTCCGTCTGCAGTGCGTATACAGTATGTGTATGCGGTGCAGAAGCAGCACAGACTCATTGTGCTTTCGCACAGGACGCGTTTGCAGTCCGCTCCTGATCCGCGGC